TTCAATGATCACTTCAATTTGCTTGTTGTATTCCCTTCCTATTTGGCTATTAGTTCCTTCAGGAATATTATCTGCTCTAATAGTTTAAGATGTATACTTACATTTTTACATTTCCTCAGTCCTGAGCTTCTACCACATTTCCCTTTATCAAAAATCCTCCCCTGATCTGGATGTGATGAAACACACCTGTAACCTTAACATTCTGGGAGGTTGAGGTATCAGGATCATCAGTTTGAGCCCAACCTCAGCAACTCAGTTAATTACCAAGACTCAGTCTCCAGATAAAAAGGGCTAGGAGTGTAGTTCATATGAAGACCCTGGGTTCACTCTCAAGCACTGCCAAAAAAAATCCTCCCCTGGTTTCTTACCTGCTGGGAAGGACCCCCAACTCCTCGGACAGGGCCTGCTAATCCAGCAGGAGCCTGGGGAATTGGTACACCAGCTGGTACACCTCTGCCAGCTGCCCTCCCAACCCCAGGACCTCCTGCAGCTCCAGCAAGTGGTACCCGAGCAATGCCAGTCTGAAACAAAAAAGTTTATAGCTTAAAACCAAATTCATTTTCCAAGCTCTGGGGATTCTTAATCAGCTGTACCCACTATCTTCCCATTCTACCTATCCCATTTTAGTGCCATATTCTAATGAAACAATCAATCATACCATAGAAGTACCCTTCAAATTCCTAAAATGTACATACTTTTCAAAATGTCAGGATAAATACTCTCAATCAGCAACTTCAAACATAATCTAGGTCACACACACTGTAGATAGCACATATAATTAATTCATCAAAATAGTCTTCAATCCTGAAAGTATAGATAATCATGACCTGTCATCAAGTGCTGGGCACACTTTACTTGACAAAATTAAAATATACTGTGCGGCTGTCGTGTCTTGGTTTCAGGCATCTCAGATAATGCCATGTTTCTACAAACTGAAGTATTACCCTTTATGTATCAATTAACAACAAAAGACAAATTCACAAAGAAAAATAAAACTTTCCATCCTGTCCAGCCCCCTCCTTACATCTTTAGGTGGTGGCCCTTCCACAGTCATGGATACCAAGTTCTCCCCACGCAGCAAGACCAGGCCCAAAACCCGCTTTTCTTCACGCTCTGGCTGTTTTGCATTCTTTGGCCTATGGATCGAAAGCAAATTTTAAGTGATCTACATTTTAGTAATCCCAAGACTACTCACACATCACAAGTACCAATTTAGATAAACAGTTCAGATTTGCTCCACCCTCAATACCTTTAGATACAGTTAATATATGCATAAGTAGTAAAGCTATTTAACTTTTTTTTTTTTTTTTGGTACAGGGATGAAACTTGAGTCCTTGTGCTTGCAAGGCAGGCAGGGGAACCAATGAGCTAAATCCCTGGCTCATCAATGTGTTTTGATCATAAAAAAAAAAAAATCACATAAAAGTCTCTTGTTGTGTATGCCAATGCCAAGACTATGACTTAAGACAGGAAAAACTCAAGAGTCACTTTCCATGTTAAAATGGAAAAGTTAATTTGTTAAAATCATGTAATAAATCTTGATAGTAATAAATGGAAACAGAAACAAGCAGGACAATAAATGTGAAATGTATTCCAACTCCTCCACCATGCAGAATGATTCTCTCGCAATCAAGATTCAAAGACCATCACCAGGGCCGTGGATTTAGCTCCGTGGTTCTGCTGCCTGCCTCACAAGTGCAAGGACCTGAGTTCTATTCCTGGTACCAAAAACAAAACAAACAAAGACCATCACAGAAGACACCAAATAATGTTTAGAAGTGGTTATTATGATCATATAGTACACTTCTATTTCTTGTAGACTATAACTGTTTTTGCAAAATTAAGTAACTTAACTGCAATGACTTCTGAGCATGATGGTGCTTGCTTGCCTGTAAACCTAGTACTCTGAACAGCCTGAGGAAGGATACACTCAAATTCAAGCTCAGCAAGGGCCTACTTTGCAATTTGGTGTACAACCCAGTGGTAAAGAAATACTGAAAAGGCTGTAGAGGTACGGGAAAAATAAACCAAGAGCCAGGTATGGTGGCACAGGCCTCTAATCCCAGCACTTGGGAGGCTGAGACAGGTAGACTGCCAGGAGTTCAAAGCTAGCCTCATCTACACAGTAAGTTCAAGGCCAGTCTGAACTACACAGGGAGACCCTGTCTAAAAAAAAAAAACAAACATAAACAAAAAAACCCTAGAAACAAGTAAATAAATTTAAAAATAAATGCAGTGACTTATGCTTAACAAAGACTGGCCACATGGTACCCTGCCATCAACCTCAATCACCCTTTACAAGGTCAGCTCTGGCCTTGGCTTCTCACTGCCTCTGACTTCAACACCCATCACCCAACCTGGCCTTACTTGATCTTCCTGAACTCATCACAATCACAGAGGATCAAATTCATATGCTTATCAAAAGCCTTAAATGTCCCAATGAAGATCCTCCCATCTTGCAGGATGCATCGCATTCGATAGTCAATGTGCTGCAGCATCTTGCTGCTCTTGCCCACAGTCTGGAGGGAAAAAAAGGAAAGGAAGCAGCAAGCAGTGCATCTGAGCCTAATGCTCTTAACTTTTCCTTTACCCCCGTCTGTACCAACACAATTTAGTTTCCTTAACTAAATAAGTCTCCCTTGAGTCTTTTTCTCCACCATTTTTCCACACTGACTAAACATACTGGAACAAGTTTTGGCTCAAGATGCCCCTACTTCAGAATCAAAGGCAAATTTTCATTAGTTTTTTCACAAACAGAGATCCATCACCCTAGCCGAGCTCCCTTATACAATTTTGATTCCTCCATCTCTGCCTAAATATCACTTTCCTACAGAAGACTTGCATACTCTGGACACATTCCCACCTCAAATCAAACCTGCAGGGTTGTCAATGAAATGGAGAACAATGTAGGGTATTCTGTAGCTCTCCAGAGTGTCTCAGATCCATCACACCCATACATTATTTTTGCATCTTCTTTCTCTTCTATTTCATTTTTGTTCCACTTAGGCACCACTTAACATTTTATCCTGATCACACAGTTCTGAGATTTTAATACAAAGTCGTGCTGCTTCTCTATTAAATGTGATCCTTTGGATAATCATAAAGCACTATAAGATTTCTCATAACCAATATTCAATCTTCTACCCCTTGGAATTGTGAAATTTTTGCCCTTGAGAATGCAATGTCAGCATCACAGAACTGTGGTTATGATGACTGCTATCTACTCAGATTGCTTTCTTCTAATGAACTCAAAACCTACTGATTTTCCAGTTTGATTTGTGATTCCCAAGCATACACAAAGAGTCATCTGATTGCAGAATGGTCTCTTAAAACTATACTCATGACCATATACTCTTTCTGGTTTTCACTGTGGATGGAACCTGGAGCCTTGAGAATGATAGGCAGGCTCTCTACCATTAAGCTACACCCTTAGCTCTGAAAACTGTTTCTGTATTTTCTAATGCATAAGACATCTCTTGGTACATTTGCCAAACTTTTGGACCACAACTGGCAGATTACTGATCTTTACTTGTTACTATATGCAGCCAGCATCCACCTGTACACATTTTCTGTATTCCTAACTTCTTTTTAACATTCCAAGTCACCTATTCTTTGGACCTTTAAAGCAGCTGTCCATCTCTCTGTGGTGATGCACATCTTACCATGATTGCTGTTGCACCAAATCCAGCGTCAACGATAAAATTTCAGATGCCTTAATACTAAGGGACAGCTACAAGGTATGATGCAGGTTCTCCTAGAGACAATGCAAGGTGTTCACAAGTTTCACAGACAGCAGGTGGAGTCTGCAGAGGAAAGCATGTTATAATGGCATGGCAACTTACTATTTAAAATGGTACTTTTAAAAAAAATGATAAAAAATTAATTCTTAAAATACATCTTCCCACGTTCCCATTTAAAATGGTATTTTTTTAAAAAATCACAACAAAGAATAAATTTTTAAAATACATCTTCCCATGTTCCCATATTGACCCAAAGGACTAACAAATTTTAGAATTCCTTTATCTTAATCTCCATTTTACAAACCTAGAATAATGAAACTCACCCCCAAAAAAGCTTTGTTTTTTCCAATCCCAACATTTAACATCAATATCTCAATTTATCCTGAGTTGGATGAAACTTCTTACTTCTTGGCTGAACCATATAAATGTTTACAACTGCATGTTGTTATTTCCCCTAAAGCACCTGAAAATGATGTTAGATAACTTTTCTCCTGCAAGAACCAACCACATTATGAATAAGCTTAACACAAACCTAGCCATACAATTCAAGGTCTACACCTGCTCGTTGCAATGTCAAACTTAAACTGTATTACTTTTACATCAGAACTTGGGATTAAAAACAAAAGTAGCATTTTTTGGACACAGTTTCCCTACACTGTTCAGGCTGGCCTTGAACTTACTATGTTGTCCAGCCTGGCCTCAAATTCACAGCCATCCTTCTGCCTCAGACTCTTGAGCACTGAGATTACAGGTATATACCTCAACACCTAGGCAAAATGTTTTATCAAACTAACATGCCTGATAATACCAGTATAAAGATTTCCAGTGTGCTTATTCACCACTATTTATTATTTAATATTTAAGAAACACAAGTAAAATGGCTGGGCAATTTTTTTTCACAGTTCTGAGAACAAACTACAAGGAAAAGCACTCTTCCAAGGTACTGCCAGCTCTTGGGTTAGGAAGGTTTTAAGTAGTGTACAGCATTTCAGCATGTGAAAATCAAATTCAAATGGTTATAATCTACATAAACATCACAACTAAGTAAAACAAAGTAGGTAGAATTGTGTATTATCTGATCATAACAAAATTGTTCTACAATGGAGAAAAGATGTTTCCTTATGATCCTCATTTTCTTTTGAGACATGGACTTGCTATGTAATCCAGGCTGGCCTAAAACTCTGGCCTCAGTCTCCCAGTATCTTGGACTACATGATTATGTACTATACCTGGTACTGATTATATAAAATGTTATGGGGTTTATATCAGATGTCCCCCCAAAACCTCATGCTCATTGCTGCAGGGTTTCAGGAGATGACTTCTGGAGGGTTTCAGGAGATGACTGGATCATGGATGTGTGACACTGTATTAGTCCAGTGATGGTTTTATAGCTGGATGTGATGCTGGAAGATGAAGTCTGGTAGGAAGAGGTGGGTCACTGTAGGCGTGGCCTGGAGATATACAGATATATAGATAAAGATACATAGATATAGATATACATATATATAAATATCTATATCTATATATCTATATCTATATGTCTCTCCTCTTCCCTTGATGGCTGCTGCTTCCTGCCTGCCATGAACTGTTTCTCCTCGGCGATGCCCCTCTGCCATGACACCCAGCCTTAGAGCCAGCCCACTGTGGAATGAAACCTCTACAAACTGTGGGCTAAAATAAACCATTCCTTTTAAATTGAGTGTCAAGTATTTTGTCCTAGCAATGAGAAAGTAACTACAACATACACAAAACAGTTTATATGGATAGAAAAAAAACACATTTCATTCAGAAATTGGGAATATGGGTTCACCTCCTAGAATAGTAAAAAGGGATTTCCCAAGGAGATTTGAAATTTAGCAGTTACCTCTCATTCCTACATCTGGCACACAATTTTGAACCGCTGTTATCTACATCACCATGTAGAATTTATCTCTACAGTACAGGAGGAGGAAATGTTTCATAAGGAAAAGGACAGGAAGAGCAGCATCATCACACAGATGGATGGGCAGTCATGGCATATCTTCTCAGACCAAGGACACGTAAACAAAGGAACAATCTGCCATTACTCACAAAAGCAAATGTTTGCAATTTTTAACACAGTATGAACTTACCAATGATTATACTTCATTCAAATGAAAAGCTACTTTAAGTCAAAATAAAAGATCATTCTTATTCAAAGCACATGAGAGAAATGAAACAGCATGCAATAAATGAAAGATCATGGAGTGTGCTCTTAGTGTTCATTAAAATCTGTTAAAATTTGATACCCAGGAGTCTTGGCACACCTGTAATCCCAGCACTCATCAGGCTGAGAAAGGAGCATCATGAGTTGGGGGACAACCTGGGCTACAAAGTGAGATCCTATCTCAAAAAACAACAATAATGTGCAAAAATTTGAAATTATAGGATACCACAGAGTAACCCACTATAGGAAAATGTGCAAAGGTTATCAAGGAGAATATACAACTGAATGGAAATTTTTCATCCATAAAATAATACAAATTCAAACATGAAGCCACGTGTGGTGGTGCAATCCTATAATCCCAGCACTCGGGGAGGTTGAGGCAGGAGGATTGTCATTGAGTTCCAAACCAGCCTGGACTACAACAGTTGAGTTCAAAACAAGCTTGAACAAAAAGGCCAGGGATGTAGCTCAGTGGTGCAGTGTCTATCTGGCAAGCAAGCAAACACACACACACACACACACACACATAAAACAGCTTTCCTGTGAAATTTTATTCAATAAACACAGAGGCCAGGCATGGTGGCACACACCTGTAATTCCAGAACTGAGACAAAGGTAGGATTGCCACAAGTTCTGTGGCCAGCCTGACCTGTATGACCAGTTCAAGGTCAACCTTTTAAAAAGTAACTAATGCCAGGCGTGGTGGCACATGCCTGTAATCCCAGCACTTGGGAGGATGAGGCAGGAGGATCCCTCTGAGTTCATGACCAGCCTGAGCTACATAGTGAGTTCCAGGCCAGTCTCAACTACATAGTGAGATCCTGTCTCAAAAAAAAAAGCTACTAAAATTTAAGAACCAAGATATGTCCTGTAAAGGTACAAGATACCAATGATGAATGTAACTGTACTGTATATCTAAAGTATACCAATAAACATTCAGTTTAAAATGAAAAAAACTAAAATTTAAAAATAAACACAAAGGGAAGAGGGACAACAAAAAAATGAGTAAAAGGAAAAAATGGAAACCAAGGTTTTATACATAGGGAGGAGGGGAGGGGGCATAAGAGAAGGGAGGAAATGGGATAAAATTTATTTTTTAAAAAAATCAATCAAGGAGGCTGGGGATTTAGCTCAGTGGTTCCGCTGCCTGCCTTGCAAGCACAAGGTCCCAAAATTTGATGCCTGGTACCAAAAACAAACAAGCAAAGAAACAAACAAAAATCAATCAAGGGCCAGGGATTTAGCTCAATGGGTCCACTGCCTGTCTTGCAAGCACAACATGAGTTCAGATCCCCAGGTAAAAAAAAAAAATCAATCAATGGGGATAGAAAACAAAAAATTTCAAAAAAAAATTTAAAAAGTCTAATATTTTTGATAACCAATACCACTTTCTGTGATGCTTAAAAAGTTATATAACTCAATACTTAATACCCATCTACCTGTATAGCAAATATAAACCCCCTAATTCATCCACATTTCCACTCTGTACTCCAAGAATCACAGAGCAGCATAGCACCCTACTTTAGTACCCTTCCTCACCAATTTTAGCAGAACAAGTTCCTTCACTAGCCCAATCTTTCCCCCTTTTTTCACCTTAGTACTGGGTATTCAATCCAGAGACTCAAACTGAGCTACAACCTCAGTCTTTTCTATTTTGTATTTGTATTTTGTGTTTTGTTCTGAATTGTCTCAGCCTTCTGAGTAAGCTAGTGTTACATGAAGGAGCCACCATGCCTGGCCCTCCCTTGGCTTTTTTCTTTGCAACTGGCTCCGTAAAATAAAGGTCAATAAATTATGCTTTGAGGGAGTAGAGAGATATTAAATATTTTAAGGTTGTACCTGTCACACTACTCAAACTGACATTATAGCACCACTGCAGCCATGGTATATATAAATATATTCCCCCATGTTTAATATTGCAATAAATGTTATTCACCAAACAAGTAGTAGATGACATACACTTTACCACCCCATCCTGAGGAAATCCTAAAGATAGTGTTATTTAGGTAGAACTAGAGATTCAGAGTAGAATAAAATAGGGCCTAGTATCAGAAAATTAGATAGCACCACTTGAAAATCATAACGTAAAATTTAAATGTTATATTTGAACTATATGAGAATTTGTAAACTGAAGGGCCAAAAAAAATCACTAGGTAAAAACACCAAATGCACACAGCTTTTCACTGAAAAATGCCTTTATTTTGGAAAGCAGCTGTGCACCAGGGACCAAATTCCACTGTCTGTTTGCAACCAATTCCATGTAGCAACTAAAAGGATGATTGGTATAAATGATTTAAGAAGAGAATTTCATGGAAAGCCAATCTCCTGGGATTTAACCTCAAAATGACAGCCATAAAGTCTTACTTCAGACTGAGGGGCAGTATTTCAAAAATAAAGAAAATTAATCATAAGCCTTTCTTTGATCTTAGTTCCAAATGCCAGAAATAAAGGTATTCATTCTTCATATAGAAAAAAGCCCCAGAAGAAATGTTATAAAATAAAAATCACCCAGGTTTTCGCTCAGTGGTGCCACTGCCTGGCTTACAAGCAGAAGGTCCCCAGTCTGATCCCCAAAACAACAACAAATAAAATCAATATCCATTTCTGAATAATTTTTCTAAAAATACTATTACCTAGCTGGGCATGGTAGGCATCCCAGTACTTGGGAAGCTGAGACAAAAGGATCACACCATGAGTTCTGGGCCAACCTAAACTACCTAGTGAGACCCTATCTCAAAAAACTGAAAAATAAAAAATAAGCAAAAAGTGAGTGACCAACATGAAGTATAAACTACCTAAATCAATAGTGCATAGAAAAATTTGGATACTATCTTTGTTATATCATAATTATTTTGGGGAGGGTACCAGGAATCAAACTCAGGGCCTCACACTTACTAGGCAGACCAGACGCTGTGCCGCTGAGCTACACCCTGACCCTATTATATACACTAATTCAAAGAATAAATACATTGATGAAAACAGAAAAGTGGGGAAAAAAAGACAAAACAAGAAGTAATCAGTTACATAAGTCTGGGAAATATTTAATCTACTAGTATGCTGTTAAAAAAGTTATATGCATATATAGTACCTGTTATGCCTAGTGAATTATTAACTAAAATAACTAATACACAGTTAACAGGCACATTAGCTTTTGAAGGTACTATCAACTAAGATACTTTGCAAAGGGACAGAAAAGATGAGATCTCCCACAAAAATTACAAAACATTCACTAAGATATTCAATGATTGTATAATGAAGAACTTTTCATATAAAAATGAAAATCATTGCAAAATAAAATACAGTCCCTTTAACACGAGATACCAAGAAGTAATACAGACATGTTATAAATGTCCAGGCAGGGACATTCATCATACTTCCACTGTTATTTAAAGTGCTTTTTTCTTTTTTTTACTTTCTTTTGGGGGGGTTACCAAGGATTGAACTTGGGACCTTACACTTGTGAGGTTGGCGGCAACACCACTGAACACAAGAAAATGAAAAACCAGAAACAAAGTCTTTGTAGATAAGGAGGGGTGGAGGGATTGTAGGAAGGGCAGGGGAATGGGGAAAACATAAGACCCAAGATGTATTATGTAAAGGTGTAAATTTCCAATGAATGTCATTACATTATATACCTTAAATGTACCAATAAAATTAAATTTTTTTTAAAAAGTGCATGTTTTTGATCTCAGGATCTTATTTACTATTATAGTTTAATTGACAATGTGATATAGGAAGAAAAGGGCTAAAGGCATAGGGAAAATGGGAAAGGGAAAATATGAGAAAATGAAAAATACGGAAATAAAGTGTTTGTAAATGGCGAGGGGAGGAAGGGGTGAAGCGAGGGCAGGGACAAGGGGAAAAATGAGAACCAAGACCTGTCATGTAAAGGTACAAGACCCCAATAATGAATGTAACTATAAACTCAATGAGGAAAAATAAATAAATAAATAAATAAATAAATAAATAAAGTGCATGGACTGGGGACTCAGGTCAGTGGTTCTGCCACCTGTCTCAGAAGTTCCAAGTCCTGAGTTTGATTCCCACTACCACAAATAAATAAATAAATAAAGTGCTTACTGTATGAAGCTTTGAAAACTTGTCTCGTTTTTCCCCTGGTAATGGATTGCCAGGCCCTTCATACTGAGTTACAACTCTAATCCTTTTCTGTATTTCTTATTTTAATACAAGGTCCTGCTGAGTTGACCAGGCTGAGCCTTAATTTTTGGTCTCCTGCATCAGCCTCCCATAGCACTGGGCCTAAATGTATATACACCCAAACACTCTTTTGGTTTTGTTTCACTGAGCTGATGTGCTTGAAACTTAAAAAAAATACATATATACATATTTTTGCGGGGGGGACCAGGGATCAAACTCAGGTCCTTGCACTTGCAAACTGGTGGCAGAACAATGAGCTACGTCCCCATATATTGTGATAATAAGCATTAGGCAAACCTTACTAAGGGTAGTGCTAAATGTCTATAATCCCAGCCCTCAGGAGGCTGAGGCAAAGCTACCATCAATTTGGGACCAGCTTAAGCTACACAGTGAGTTCAAAGCCAGCCTAGACTACATAGAGACCTTGTATCTAAAATCTACATTAAAAAAGTAAAGATCAGAACTCTTATTCTATTGATTTCTGATCATTCTGGCATTAGTTCTCACATGTTTTTGTTGAAATCAGCTACCTTAATGTTCCAATACTCTTTAACCTCCTCTTGGGGTCTCAGCTAAGAACGCCTGTCTCAGTTCTGCTTGGAAATCCACCACAGGAGCTTGCTGTTGCTGAGAACGCCTTGCGTACTGACACCTGTGACAGAAGCACAACATTGATAAATGACAAAACATTTGCCTATATAAATAACCAGAGGTCTCTACACAGAGAAACATGCACATGACTAGTGGATACTTACCCAGTCTGGGATATCCTGGGGTTGAGCCCAGGGCCTTTGCACAGAGCTATATCCCTAGCACTTTTTTAAAAAAAATTTTTGTACTGGGGACCGAACTTGGGACCTTGCACTTGTCTGAGCAGAGCTCGAACTTACAAATCTCCTGCCCTGGCCTCTCAGAATACTGGGATTAAAAGCATTCGCCACCAAACCAGGCTTGCAGCTATCTTCAACCAACTAAAAACCCAAGAGCAGTTAGTTACCCCTGTAGGAACACCATTGGTACCCATATATACTCATTCAAATTCCCATTATCCTATGTTTTTTTTTTCTTGTTGTTGTTGTTTGAGACAGGGTCTCACTATGTAGTTGAGACTAACCCGGAACTCACTAGGTAGCCCAGGCTGGTCTCGAACTCACTGTGATCCTCCTGCCTCAGTGCCCCCCCACGCCGAGTGCTAGGATTACAGGTGTGAGCCACCATGCCTGGCTCCATTATCTTATATGGAAACAATTGTTTCTACCATGCAGTAGAATGACATTTGCTAAATGATTTTTTTGTAAGTCACTAAGAGCCATCCATATTGATTCTATAAGTCACTACCTAAAACAACTCGAAAAGTCCAGAATGTCTAAGAGTTTTCAAACTACATAAATCTTAGGGTGCAATATTGGTTCAACGACAGAATTCTTGCTTTTAAACAACATAAATCATTCATTGGAATTTAGGTCAGACAAAAGTGTGTGCTGAGGGTAGTCAGGTTAGGAGCTAGTCAGAACCCAAAAGACCAAGCACAAAGTTAGAGGATGAAGATTTCAACCTAACCTCCTAGGAGGAAAAGGGAGATGTAGGATGAATTTAATCACATTGCAAATGACTTGATTTTATGTACATAATGAAACAAACAAAAAAACCCCTGCATATATACAGAGCTTTGCCAAACCAGGTTGACTTGTAGTCTTTACAAAAACTATGACTCAGGGTATTATTTAGTGATATATCGCTAGTCTAATATGCACAAAGCCCTGGGTTTGATCCCTACATGTGTGTATGTGTGTGCACACATGTTCATACATATATTCATCGGGGTTTACATCATTAAGAACTCTTTCTTGAGTTCTGTGTCACCTTAACACTTTATCAAACCTGAAGAGATCGAAGGAAGCAGATTCTGTAGCCAGTTGTGTATACACGTGGTATGGCCTGGAAACCACAGGACTTTTGGCTGATATAAGTGAGGATAATCTTGAGGAAAAAATATGTACTTTACCTGTTAAGTTTGAACTAACTCCAACTAACCAGCATTAGAATCATACTGAACTTACATTTAAATTTTCTAATTCCAAACATATATATGTTTGTATGTATATAAAATTAGAAGGGGTTATGGTAGGAACCAAACCTAGCATAGTAGTGTAACTACTCTACCAGTGAGCTACATTCTCAGCCAAAATCATAAACTTAATTTGGCTATTCTTAATTTCATTTTCTTTGTTATTAAAAGGCAATCAGAAACTGGGCATGGTGGCACACGCCTGTAATCCCAGTACTCAGGAGGCTGAGGCGGGAGGATCACTGTGAGTTCAAAACCAGCCTGGGCTACATAGTGAGTTCCAGGTCAGTCTCAACTACATAGTGAGACCCTATCTCAAAAAACAAAAACAAAAACAAAAACAAAAAGGGCAATCAGGGCTTTAGCTCAGTGGTTCCACTGCCTATCCTCACAAGCTTATAGTCCCAGTTCAATCTCCACTACCAAAAAAAAAAGAAAGAAAGAAAATTTGCTATTCTAGTATCACCTTTTGATTTAAACCTGGACTCCAAAAGATTATAATAACACTGAGAAGTAAAATGCAGCCTACTCAGGATTGAATTCATAAAATACAGGATATTAATATGGAGAGACATTTAGAAGTATACACAGATTAAGATGACTCTCTACCACATTTCACAATTTTTCTTAAACTCAATTCACCCAGGAACAGGGAGGATAATGTCCAACCCCCCAAAAAAACTGATACGTTGACAAATGTAATAGAAGACAAAAAAAAAAAAAACATCAATTTCAGGAGTGGAAAGAAAAGTGAACTTCCATTAATCTTTAATTTGTTGCCATCTTGAGTTTTTTCATCAATTTTGCTTGGAGTTTCTTGAAAAAGATAATATTTTAATTATTTAGGGCCAACACACATAAAAGCTCTTCAGGGAAAATGACTCCTAGCGCTTATGGTTTGGCAGATGATCAGATATTAATGGACAGATGCTAATCAACACTCGCTCAATCTTCAACACATCCAATATGACTTTTAATTGTCCCACTCCTGAAATTTTGAGCTTATGAACCATGGCAAGGCCAATCATTCCTGCCTAGACATTTCCAGTGTCTACTGACTTTGATGAGAGACAACTGAGAAAATTGTGCTATTTGCCTACCACAACACTTCTTCAAAATCATCACAAGGTTTCCACTAATTTGGACAAAAAGACACCTGAAGAAGTCTTACCTCATCACAAAACAAGATGAAGATGACATTGTCAATTAACCTGCTCTGATGCTCTACTGTCACCAACAACAAAGCACAAAGAACCAGATGGACCTTCACCCACTAATAAGACCCTCCCCGACAGAGCCAGACACCCATCCAGAAGTCTACCCTGAGCTCTCTAAATTATTTCCGGAAAAGAGGCACTTTCAAAAACTACTGAAAATCAAAACTTTTCAAAATCCTGGAGAGGAAATATATTTATCAAATAAAATGAGTAAGAATAAGCATATTAGAAAAGATAAATTGTTATTTCTTGAGCTTATGAACCATAAGCTCAAAACATAAACACATATATTTTTAAAATGCTCCCAGAGAAATCTGCAAAATGAAATGATAAAAGAACATACTCACAAGTGTTAAATACTAAAAAAGGGAAAAAGGGAAAAATCTTACCATCAAAACTAACTTTATTTTTTTGGGGGGGTTGCTTGTTTGTTTGTTTTGTTTTTTGAGACAGGGTCTCAACTATATAGTTGAGACTGACCTGGAACTCACTATGTAGCCCAGGATGGTCTCGAACTCAAGGTGATCCTCCTGCCTCAGCCTCCTGAGTGCTGGGGTTACAGGCGTGCGCCACCACGCCCAGCCAAAACTAACTTTAAAATGTGCAAAGCTTCAAAAATTTTCACACATACAATGAGCAAGTAACTAAATAAAAGATGCTAACCACTTTCCACAATTTATAAACATCCGTAGCTTTGAGGCAATAATTAGTATTAATACAGTATGTTTAGCACTACTGTTCTTATTTTCGCTGTTAATAGCCAAGAACTGCAAACAAAATTGATCACCAAGTAGGCTAACAATTAAATTACCATCCATACTCTGAAATCTGTAACATAAAGCACATTTATATGCACTGAAATGGAAGTGAGTCCTCAGAGTACTGGTAGAAAACAACATGAGAATCAGTGTCAAGCAAACAGTAACTGAAATATTACACATGTGTATTCCATATTCTCCTTTTCTCTCCCCTTATGCAAGTATGCAAATACAGCATATAGACAAGGTCTGAAAAGTTAGAGACCAAATACCTAAGTATTACCTCTGGGGAAGTAGAGGATATAAAATGGTGGTGGCTCGAACATCAGACTCACTTTTTGAGACTGTATTTATGCACTATTAATACCTTTAAATTTGAAAACAATAAGATAATAAAACAAGCATATGACAGAAAAGATACCATCTTGCTGATACCTTCATACTTTTAGTGGCAATGACAAAATGTCAAAAATTTAATGTGTACCCAATACCAGTATACATCAGGTTATTAAAGATGTTCAGGGTCGGGGATTGGCTCAGTGGTTCCAGCGCCTGCCTCAGAAGTACAAGGACACGAGTTCGATCCCCAGTACCAAAATAAAAAAAAATGTTTAAACATTACTTCCCTTCTCATCACCTAAAATGAAGCATGCATACTTAGGTATTTGAGTAAGCCTGGGTGTATATTTACTAAATAAAAAATTTCATATTCTTAATTGGACAAATGAAGTAACCAAAGACAAAAATCTAAACATCAGAGCCAAGAATACATAAAGTGACATTCCTTCAATGCACTGAACATTTCACAACACGAACTAATTTAATAACATGAAGAAAACAGAAATAATTTCAATATTCACACATTTAAAGATGAATACAGAATTTTATAGTGAAAACTCAACTATATACATATATACAAAGGAAATACACTAACATCAGAGGTTAAATTAGGAAAATGTAAAGATGATTTCATTCTTTTAATAAATCTTCTGGAGCTGGGCATGGTGACACATGCCTGTGATCTCAACACTTAGGAGGCAAAGGCAGGAGGATCGCTGCAAGTTCGAGGCCGGCCTGGACTTCATATTGAGTTCAAGGCCAGCCTGAACTATACAGCGAGACCCTGTCTCAAAAAGTAATGAAAGAAATAAATAAATCTTCTCTATTACATATATGTGCTTCTTCCATTAATTAGGTGCATTTTAATCTCTTCAATTCAGTATTCTGGATTCTGTGTGAAATGCTTCTGGACCCAGATTGTACTCACTCTTGGTTGCTCAAGGAGGCCGTCCTTCTACGTTTCACTTGGACTTCCACCTCTGGCACGTGCTGCTCTGTAGTTCTTCTCAGGTGTAAGCGATCCCTGAATTAAAAAAGGAGAGATATTCTTAAAAGATTTCACCAATTTATGAAACTACTTAAAAGGTTATAGTTAGAAATGCAAAATAAAATGAATAGTTATTTAGAGACAAAGTCTCACTACGTATTCCAGGCTGACCTTAAATTATGTAGCCTAAACTGGCTTCAAACTAGTGCCTCAGCCTCCAGAGTGGTAGGATCACAGCCGTTTGCCACTATGCTAAAATATAATGCATTAGAAGAATCCACAATCAAAACAAAGGAAAATTAAAATATTAGATCTTTACACTTCAAACAATCAGAATCTGCCCAATAAGCTAACTTCAAGGCTGGTTTGGGAAAATATTTTTAGGTCATAATTTAATAATTATAGTGTAATAATAGGACACAAACATTAAATTGCAATTCTACTGCCTGCCTTGAAAGCGCAATGTCCTGAGTTCAATCGCCGGTACCAAAAAAAAATTAAATCGAAAAATACCTAATAAAAAGTCTCTTGTGCAAATAGTGCTTGTTTAGATTTACAAAACAAGAGACTAAACAGTCACTCACAATCATGCAAGGCAGGGGAGATACCTCCATGTTGAGATCAGCAAAACATCTCACAAAATGGCTGCTCTGGCAAACAAATCAAATTAATTTATATGGCCACCATGTGAGGAACTGCAAGAACCATCTACAAACTCATGAAGTTAAAACTCTTAATTACATTTTTAAAGCTAAGCTCTTTTTCCTTACTCCAGAATGTAGTCTTTGTTGGGAGTCTTTGGTAAAATCATTTGGAAATAACAACTCAGAAAGGACATACTAAGGGCCTTTATCAAAGTCTTGCAACAAAAGGGACTAAGCTTCATCCTAAATCACAGAAGTGGCTCACAGTCCCCATCTTGAAAAGGACTAAGTAGTGAGCCAATTATTCACTACACAGGACAGAGACCCAGAGACTTATAAGGCCTTGAAATGGAATGAGGGAGGCCTTTCTGAAGGGATCTACCTACCATTAGAGTGGATCCTTAGCCTATTCATACTGAATATAAAAGGGCAGAATAGTGTAAAAACTTTGTAGATTATTAAAAGAACAGAAATTAAACCAAAACACATTTGAAGCAATCAATAATATCACAAGTTGGAAAAAAAACAACAGGTAAATGATAATTATCAAATGAAAAAATCCAGAATCCTGGCCAAGAGTGGTAGCTTTGGACTGGCAAATAATTAAAACCACTAGGGAGGCTGAAGCAGGACATGTCAATTTCCCAACTAGCCAGGGAAACTCAAAATAAAACAAAAAGGTCTAGGGGCCAGGGATTTTGCTTAGTGGTTCCACTGCCTGCCTTCTGCAGCCTTCAGGGACACAAGGGCATGAGTTTGATCCTTAGTATCACCAAAGAGGTGGGAAGCTAAGGATGAATATCAAAGGGGTTTAACCAAACCCCAGTGCTGCCCAAAAAAAGAATGCTGGCATTTTGCAATTTGTGGGGGGGTACCAGGGATTGAACTCGGGTCCTTGTTTGTGAGGCAGCAGCAGAACCACTGAGCTAAATCCCTGGCCCTGATTTGCAATTTTTGAAACTACTGAAAATTGGTAGGCTGACGGAGAACAGAATGATTTTGAATAAGGCCAATGATACAAAACAATTTTTAAAAAACTACTCCATTAAAAAAAGCTTCAATATGTATCCATTTTCCTATGAATGAATCTATTTTCTCGTTCTTTATGGCTGAGTAATATTCCATTTTATAGAAAACCCACATCTTTATCCAGTTTCCAACGGATGGGCAAATGGGCTGTATACTCCTAAGTGAAATAAATAAGTCACACATGTGTAAATACTGAATAGTTTCCCTGGTGTGAATAATCTGCAACAATGCATAAGATTCTAATAAGATTATTGACATTTAGAAATGGGAAGAAAGGAGCTAAAGGTGTAGGGAAGGTGGGATGGGTAGGGGAAGAGTAAAAAGGGAAAAGAAAAAAATGTGAGAGAATCAAAAGATGAAAATAAAGTGTTTGTAGATGGGGAGGGGAGGAGGGGGTGAAGGGAGGGCAGAGGTAAGGGGAAAAATGAGAACCAAGACTTTGTCATGTAGAGGTACATGATCCCAACAATGAATGTAACTGTACTGTATCCCTAAAATGTACCAATAAACTCAATTAAAGCTGAAAAAAAAAAGGCTTTACCACCTTTCTTGAATTACATTTTTTCATTGCAACTCAGGACAACCAGGTATATGAGGACAAAAATGGATTAAAAGAAAAAAAAACAAAGTTGATTAATTATTCTTTCTTGTCCATTTTTACCTCAGCTCCAACTACAAAAATTACCCAAAGTGGCCCTCCATGCTGTTCCAGGTAAGCTGCTTGCTCTACACACTGTGCTCTCTTGGCCTCAGGACAGGCAAGGAAATTGGGAGTCAGAGGGAGGGGAGGTAAAGTAAAAATGATGCGTTAATATACATAATCTCTCATCACCGACCTTTAACCAAACCTATGACATCCGCCACACTAACCCCAGAACAGGGTCGGGAATGTAGCTCAGTGGCATCTCACCTGCTTGGCAAGTTCAAGGTTTTCAGTTTGATCCGTGGTACTGCGTTTTTTTAAAAAAAAAAAAGGAAACAGAACCACCCCAGAACAGAAGATCAGGGCACAAGGCCCTGCCATGCTGTGACGGTGAGATGGGCAGCGCCCGCCTCTCTCTCATTAGGCTCCATCTTTTGCTCCTGCTGAGGGGAGCCAGCTGAAGCCTGGACAGTGAGGTGGGGCCTGAATGATGGCACCTCCTTTCCTCCCCTCCCCAGAGAAACAGCAGTGAAGAGTGGGGAAGAGGACCAGCAGAGGCTGTCCGATGAGGTGCACGGAAAGCCTGCCACCCCGAGGGTCTCAGGCCGGCTCCACAAGCTTCACCCAGGCAGAGGCAGAGGACCTGTCTATGCACCTGCGCACTTAGTAAGCGAACTAACTAGCAGTGCGCGGGTCAGTCATTCTACCCTGCAAAGTTACCTCAACGAGGAGGGTGCGGCCATCCATGCACTTAGCACTCAATGCTGTCAGCAATCTGGGGGCACAGAACCCCCAGAGTCAGCCCAACGTTACCTCCAGTGCAAAACTGCTCTGACCAGCTATATATGAACCACGCAGGACTGCACCCCACCATCCTGACCCCACTTCCTATCCTGGAGACCCCTGAACCTGAAATCCCCAAATCCAAGGAAGCCCTGCGCCCATATCCACAGCATTCTGGAATCCCACCCCCACCCTCAGAAACCACCGCAGGCTGGAGGACAAAGGTCCACGTGAGTCAGAATGTGGAACAATGCGGCAATAACACCGCGGCACGTGACTGCAGACCCCGTTCTGCAAAAGAGATCACGCCCAGGTTCGCTTTCATCAACACCCGCCCTACACGGTGAACTGTGGGCTGCACAGACGTGAATTTTCAGGTTATGACCGGCGCACACACAAACCTGGCTCGCTCCATCACGATGGGGCCTGCTCCCCTCAGCTCAACGCCCGGTATCGCCGGCCCGGCTCTGCACAAGATGCTGGGCCACACAGCAGAGCCCTCTGTGCATGCGCCATGATGCGGCACACCGGGCTGAGTTCTAACTGCATTGTTAACATGATGAAAACGGAAAGGGACCAAGAGTCAAAAGGAGCCGAAAAGGAGCCAGAGAAAAGGGCAAGAAAAACAGAGAAAACTAAAATAAAATAAAATAGACAAAAAGGGAGGAAGGAGCAGGAAATAAAAACTAGAATGTATGTCCTTACACCAACTCTCCGTGATAAATGTAACCATTATGTACAGCAAACAGTTCTAATTAAAAAACAAAATCCACCCCAGAACAGAAGATCAGGGCACAAGGCCCTGCCATGCTGTGACGGTGAGATGGGCAGCGCCCGCCTCTCTCTCATTAGGCTCCATCTTTTGCTCCTGCTGAGGGGAGCCAGCTGAAGCCTGGACAGTGAGGTGGGGCCTGAATGATGGCACCTCCTTTCCTCCCCTCCCCAGAGAAACAGCAGTGAAGAGTGGGGAAGAGGACCAGCAGAGGCTGTCCGATGAGGTGCACGGAAAGCCTGCCACCCCGAGGGTCTCAGGCCGGCTCCACAAGCTTCACCCAGGCAGAGGCAGAGGACCTGTCTATGCACCTGCGCACTTAGTAAGCGAACTAACTAGCAGTGCGCGGGTCAGTCATTCTACCCTGCAAAGTTACCTCAACGAGGAGGGTGCGGCCATCCATGCACTTAGCACTCAATGCTGTCAGCAATCTGGGGGCACAGAACCCCCAGAGTCAGCCCAACGTTACCTCCAGTGCAAAACTGCTCTGACCAGCTATATATGAACCACGCAGGACTGCACCCCACCATCCTGACCCCACTTCCTATCCTGGAGACCCCTGAACCTGAAATCCCCAAATCCAAGGAAGCCCTGCGCCCATATCCACAGCATTCTGGAATCCCACCCCCACCCTCAGAAACCACCGCAGGCTGGAGGACAAAGGTCCACGTGAGTCAGAATGTGGAACAATGCGGCAATAACACCGCGGCACGTGACTGCAGACCCCGTTCTGCAAAAGAGATCACGCCCAGGTTCGCTTTCATCAACACCCGCCCTACACGGTGAACTGTGGGCTGCACAGACGTGAATTTTCAGGTTATGACCGGCGCACACACAAACCTGGCTCGCTCCATCACGATGGGGCCTGCTCCCCTCAGCTCAACGCCCGGTATCGCCGGCCCGGCTCTGCACAAGATGCTGGGCCACACAGCAGAGCCCTCTGTGCATGCGCCATGATGCGGCACACCGGGCTGAGTTCTAACTGCATTGTTAACATGATGAAAACGGAAAGGGACCAAGAGTCAAAAGGAGCCGAAAAGGAGCCAGAGAAAAGGGCAAGAAAAACAGAGAAAACTAAAATAAAATAAAATAGACAAAAAGGGAGGAAGGAGCAGGAAATAAAAACTAGAATGTATGTCCTTACACCAACTCTCCGTGATAAATGTAACCATTATGTACAGCAAACAGTTCTAATTAAAAAACAAAACAGGGAGGGCAGGGAAAAGGGGAAAAAATGAGAACCAAGACCTGTCATGTAAAGGTACAAGATCCCAACAATGAATGTAACTGTACTGTATCCCTAAAATGTACCAATAAACTCAATTAAAAAAACCAAAACAATAAAAAGTAGTAGTCTTTGTGGGGACTGTACATGTGGATAATGCATCTTAATTCTTTTTACCCCCTTCCGGTCCCATTGGTCCCTGCTCCCTCCAACTCTGGTTTCCATTTGTATTTGCAAAAGCTATTTCTACTTTTGCTTCAATTCTTTTATTCACCCTTTTCCCTCTCCTTTTTCCCCACAGCCTCCAATTCCCATTTTGTTCCTCTTACCACTTGAAAAATAGCTCCCTACTTCCTAACATCTTGTTTTTTAAATCTGTACTTACATTCTGGGTTTCTCATCTTAGACACATAATCTAACAGGTACTAATACAAAATAAATAAACAAATGAAACATATAAAAACAGAAAAAAGCCAGGCGTGGTGGTGCACACCTATAATCCCAGTAATCCCAGCACTCGGGAGGCTGAGGCAGGAGGATCGCTGCCTGGGCTACATAGTAAGTTCCGGGTCAGTCTCAACTACATAGTGAGACCCCGTCTCAAAAAACCAAAATAAATAAATAAATAAAAACAGGAAAAAGAAAATGGTATTTGGATTGCAGAGGTCTGATTGGCTCCTTAGATCTTACATACAACTCCGAGTCAACTGCCCTTTGACTTCCTCCTCTTCTTGAGAAGATCATGAGTTACTATCCCTGATTTGAAATATACATCTAAATTACAAGCAACTGAAGAAATTGGACTTGGGTGGTTCCTTTGCAATTTGGGCATAAAGTCTTCTTCTCTTGGTCTGCCCCCTTGTGTGTCCCTGCTATTATGTCTTTCTTAAAAACATTCACCATTATATTTATGGACCAATCCTTAGTCAGAATAATCTTATTTCTAGAACCCTAGCTGTATTACATTTGAAAAAAATCCTTGTAACAAATAATGTCAAAAGTTTCTGCTTGGGCCTATCTGTTAGAGATCTCTAAAAAATACATTACAGGGAGGAATTACTATCCAGGGTTAGCAACATGGAAGAAATACTTGGACTTTCCCTTAGAACTGGCTTCCTAAACCTTTACTATCCTGTTCTAAGGCCTTTGGCCTTGGCTTTGGGTACTAGTAGTTCATGAAATGATGTTCACTATTAACTAGCAGGTTTCTTTTGAACAATATGCATATGGAATTATGATAATTCCATAAAAGTCGTATGTTCTACTTTTTTTTTGTACTGGGATCGAACTTGGGCCCTTGCAATTGTGAGGAAGGCACCAGAACCACTGAGCTAAATCCCAGCCCTGTGTTCTACTTGATATATCACCTTGGAAAAAGTTTTATTTGCCTCTAAAGATTAATTAAATCAAGGCTGATAATGTAGCTGCAGTGGAGGAGCATTAACCTATTATGCACAAGGCCATGAGAACTTTTAATTCCCAGAATGCCACAAAAAATTTTTTTTCAAAGAACTGGTGTTAATTTTCCCATTTTAAGGTTTTATTATATCTTACAACAAATAAAAATAATAAATTTGAATTGAATCAAATAGAAATACAGAAAAATTCAAGGTAAAAGGGATAAGGGGTACAAAGTATAGACAACTTTACTACACTCTAACATTCAACAGTAACTTGCTAAGATAAACTTCCCAAATGATACATTTTTCTAGCATTTCAAAGAGGCAAGCACATACATGTCCCAAGTTATCCATACAAGATAACTTCGTTTTTATTTAAATATTTGCACATACAATCTGTAGAAAATAATGGGTTTCATTGTGGCATTTGTACCTATGTATAACTTATTGATATTATCTATCCTAACAACCTTTTTAAGCCCCATCCTACTTGCAGCATCTTCCCTTTTATATTAGCTCCCCGCCATTTTCACTTCTTATTTTTATTTATTTATTTATTTTTGGTACTGGGTATTGAACTCAGGTCCTTGTGCTTGCAAGGCAGGTGCCAGAACATCTGAGCTAAGTCCCCGGCCCTCTTTCTTCTTAGTTTTAACATGTGAGAAGAAACCTGGAACACTGGGGAATTCTGGCAAAAACAAATTGACTATAATTAGTATTTATAGGTAGGTTACAACTCTTTAAAGCAACATTCTAGTAACTGAGTAGGGGGGTTGTTATGATTTTGGTTTTAGTCCCAAAGGAGTAAACTGCAGTTTCTGCTCCAGAACAGTTAAGTAAAAGATGGCTGCCCTATGCTACCAAGTGTGGAGAACAGACCATGTGTTTTAGCTTGCAACACGTGCCCAGATGACAAGGATGACACACACGTTTATTAGAAGATGTTTCCCCGGCACAGGTAGAGGATAAAAATACATTTGGGGGCCGGAGATTTAGGTCAGTGGTTCTGCCACCTGTCTTGCAAGTGCAAGGTCCCATGTTTGACCCCCAGTACCCGCCCCCTGCGAAAGAGTTGAATTCCAAAATGAAAAGCAGCTTTGGATACAGCTTTATAACATCTACGACCGGGCCAGAGATTCAGCTCAAGTGGATCCTCCGCCTGCCTAGCAAGGGCAAGGTCCGGAGCGAGATCCCCGGTACAAAAACACAAGGAAAACAAAACACAAAACATCTACAACGGAGGGCCAGGAATTTAGCTCAGTGGTGCCACCACCTGTCTCGCCCGCCTCTCAAATGCAAGGTCCTGCGTTCAATCCCCAGGATACAAACAAAGCGTGCAGAGGGCACTCCGCATGCTCTGCAGGCAGAGGCAGCCACATCCCTGGCCTCGTTCTCTTTAGGTTCCTGTCCTCAGGGAGAGCAATGTGGGAAGTGGGTTGCAGCTAGGACAGACAGGTAGAGCCTGCACCGAAGTGTCTCCTTCCCTCCTCTTCGGTAAGAAACAGTGGGGAAGGAGGTAAACAGCATCCGCTGTCCATGCTCAGGTGCAGGGAATGTCTGCCACCACTCCTACGCAAGCCGTGCGTACTCTACTATACCACAGGCCGAGGTGGCCTGCCATCCAGCCACTCCTGCACGCTAAACCCCTAAACCACTCGGGGCAGGAACTGGCACCCACCCTGCAACTGCAGTATCCTTAACACTGCCCAAGTGGGCAGGGTGGGAATGGAGCACTAGCCAATTACAAATGCACAGACCCAAGCCTGGGATTTAGCTCAGTGGTGCCGCCACCTGTCTCGCAAGCCTAAGGTCCTGAGTTCGATCCCCAGTATCAAATAAATAAATAAATGAATAGACACACACACACACACACCTATGAATACCGAGTCCACTACCCTTGATCCTTGAAGAGGGGGGTCGAGCCCCTGGCGCCTGCGCACTTCTGTGCCACTGCAGCAGCCGCCATCTTCGCGGGCTGCACAATGGCGACGCAGAGGAGACCCCCCACGCCAGCCTGAGGCGGTGGTCCACAACGTGATTCCCGGGCGCCCGCCTGGTCTCAGTCTCCCAGAACAGACACCAAGGCTAGGAACCCCCCGGGCATGAAGTAAAAGAAGAGCAGGAATCAAAGCCATCACACCCTACCTCGCTTCTGTAGGAGCGCAGCTAACACAACCGGCAGTACGGAGAGCTCGCAA